ACGAATCCGTTGGAAAAAATGTTGGGATTTTTCATGCGTTCCATCGAATAATTGTTTCAAAATGAGCGGTGGTTCCGGTAGAGGTTCAAGAAATACATTACCGTGACTACAACAATCATTGAAAGTGGTTTTTCGTAAGACTTTTTCACCATGGAAGTGTTTTGCACTGCAACTCGTACACAGGACATTCATAGAGCCCAAATAATGCTGTGGAACATCAATTGTCTGGATTCCTGAGTGATCATTATTGAGAACTGGTTGAACATGTCGGGATTCACGTTCAGGATTAGGCAACACATTGACATGCGAGTCATAATTTGAATTCGTTGAAGAATTATTGAGAGGTGTGGTGTAATTACTAACATCATACAAATACTTACATCTTGTCCGGATATCAGATTGAGTGGTTCCATGTGCTGAAAGAATTGGTGGACGGAAATAACAATGGTCATGAAATGTGCGAGATCGCTCGGAGCTAATTTCTTGAAATGGTGAAAGTATTTGCAGTTCAGTGACGATCCTAGGAAACAAATGAAATCTTTGTTCGTTGGGCGATATTTGTTGTCGTGCAACGTTCATATTAGATTGACTGGTCTCCTGTGCTGAAAAAATTGATGAACGGAAATAACAATGGTCATGAAATGAGTGAAGTTGTTCAGAGTCAACTTTTCGCGATAATGAAGATGTTTGTGATTTAGAGATGATCCTAGGAATCAAATCAGATCTTCGTTCGTTAACTGATGCTTGTGGTCGTGGAACGTTCTTATTAATCATTGCATTTTGACTTTCAGAAGTAGGAGTGATAGTACCATGTACATGCGATTCCTGTGAAAATTCATTGATATCTGCAGAATATGCCATATCATGTACAAATCTGTACTTTCGTTTCTGTTTGGATTCGGGGAGAGATTTCCCCGGTCTTTTTGACATATTGAATGAATATTCAGCGATATTTAATGATAACAGCTGCTTTTAATCAAAATTGTTTTCCCTCACAAACACCCATGCAAATGAATATTCGAACAAAATGAAAGAAATTATTCAATAGATGGTGAAAAATCAACAATTCGTGTGAAAATATTGTTCTTTATTCTTCAAGAGCACTTTGATTTCTATTATAGTACAAAAAATGAGAGGTCTATCTATTTCAATCGAAATTTCTTTCAATCCGATATTATTTCTCTTCTTATTTCTATTTTTATCTTATATCTATATATCTGTTTTACGTCTATTCTTTTCTATTCTATTTCTATTTGTATTTTCAATACAATCTATAGTGTCTGTGTAGACTGTATAATCTGAAGGTCTGTATCAACTATATAGTCTGTATAATCTAGAGGTCTGTATATATTCAACTATATCTAAAAAAATTTCTTCTTCGCAAAATGATCAATGATCTACTGTATATTGATGATGAGAGCCAGCTGATGTTCCACCTGAAATAGAAATGACCATGAGTTGATACATCAAAACTTAATTAATGGAAAATATTAATGTATTGAAAGTAATACACGTAATACATTACCTATTCTTTATTATTTTCTCTTCTCTTTAATCAGATTGAAACACCTCAGGTAAAGTCTCTCTCAACAAAAGTCCTTGGCGATACTCGATGACGTCTATTTGCGTCTGATGGACGGAATCGGAATCTGAAAATGTTCAATTATTGAGTAGTGAATAAAACGCATCATTTTTTATTGTTACTAATAAATTCACTAAAAAAACTTCAGAAAAATCTGAAAATTTATCACAATCTAGGTCATAATAAGGACTATTACTGCTCATAAGATCGACGTGATCGATTCGATAATTCGTGAGACAAAGCGATTTGTTTTTAAATCGTTTTTCGCGAGTGCTTTAAACTAATGAATTGATTTCAATTTTTTTTAAATATTTGTTTGAATTTTTTATACGATATGTTTTGTATTTTTAAATAGAAACTACAAATCCGTTCGGAATGTTACTACCAATGAAATTGCCACAAATGAACAAAACTATTAACGCATAACGTAACGTCCAATACTGTCTAATATCTTCTGTCGAAACTACTCGGTCCCCTTGCGTGTTTGTAAACTCCATTGATCTAATAATTTTGAATATACAAACATAATTGGGTCATCATTTAGAGACAGGGATCGGCACCAACATTATTTTCGGTAATATTTTCGCATTTCATTAGTACTTATTTTAGCAATTGGTAATGATAAATTGTCTTTATTTGAGTACTCTAATGATCTCTAATTGAGATAAGGAATTTTTTTATTGTCGTATCGATCAATAATAATATTTGAGAAATTTTCATTATTCAATTTAAAAACACGACATACACACACACACCCACGTCTTGTCCAATTTTTAAACACATTTGTTTAAATCAAAAAATTGTTTTGTTCAATTAGAAATCGAAATGGTAATTAAATATCGGATTCGTTCTATTATTGACTGTAGAAGTAATGAAAATCAAATTATTAATATTGACAATCAGCTTGGTAATGAATTATTGATAAAGAAATATTGATTTATTGTCGATCTCTGTTTAGAGTGAAAAAAAATGAGGGGAATTGTTCACTCTATGGTGTGGAAAATTAAGTCCATTGTGACAACTGAAAATACAGAATTTACCGATTTTTCACACTTTGTAGTTCGACGTTGCATTACATGTGTTGAAATTATCATGAATTTATGTTGTACTAATCTTCGACAGCTTCAATTTAATTTGTTTCTTAATTATTTCTTCACTTACCTTGGTGTTTGCGCGTAACAGCGATATGTTCCATGTACTGCACGGAATGACTGGTCATAAACCTGTTGAGGTTAGGATTAGAGCGTATAATAACGGGTTCAGTCGCGGTAAAACTTCGTGTGTGTTCGTTCTCGAGAACTACACAATCGGGAATTCATATATGGCACGATTGAAATTAAATTCTAAAATTGGAGGGAAATTTCAAAATCGTTTTTTTCAGTAATTTCAGTGTTTCTTCGAAACATTTCTTTTTTTTCCGGATATTGATATATTTTTTGGGAACTGAGATAACTTTCAACACCTCACCTCCCCTTACCTATCACAGTCAAATTCTAGCGGAATTTCAATTTCCAAGAACACGTTGAAACTGAAAACAAAAAAAAACGTTTCAAAGAAACACAATCAGATAAATGGAGAAAAGAACGCCTTAAAAAATTAAAATTAACTATTAGAATATCAAATAATTAAGTGTTTAATTATCAAATTAAATTTTTTATTATTGACAAAGTTGAACACGTTTTACATTGAACACATAACGCTTATAATTATGATATGAGTTCAGACTCAGACTATCCAGTCTTGTAGTTGCTCTTTGAGATTTTCTTACTTTTAATAACGACAAAGATGCAAATGTGTCTATCAACAAATTTAAATTCTGAGAATATGAAAAAATAATTAAATGTTTTCATCATAAAATCAACCTCTTCATCACTGAAACTTTAGACACTTTTACATCGAACTCATGACGTTTACATTATTGAATCTCAGACGATTCGATAGATATATCCGCTCAATCCATAGCACCTTGAGCTTTTCTTAATTACTCTGATACTTTTCAATCATTTTTTAACATTATAATACTATCGCGTCTTACTGCCTTTGGCATTACAAAAAAAAACTTAAAATAATAAAAACTAAAAAAAAACATCATTTTTCATCTGATTTCAAAGGAATTACTTATCTCGAAATAGTCCATTTTTTTTCTATAAAGATTTTTCTTCTAAAAAAAATTACATTTTTTTCTGATGAAAAATTGCCTTTTTTTGTCTTTTTGTTTTGTTTTTTTTGTTTTCTTTTTGTTTTTTTTGTTTTTTTTGCTTTTTGTTTGCAATTTTTTTTTAGGAGAAAGTTATCGAATTTTTCAACTCTTGAAACATAATGATTTGACATTAAAAAACTGTAATTCATCTTTAACCTTTTTGCTTATGTTGTTGCTTTTTTTAAACAAAAGTTATGATTAAAGCATTTTTGTTTTTGATCGTTTTCTCTTCAGAAACTTTTAGTTTTTCTCATGCAGTGATAATCATTGAAATAAAAATTGTCATCATCATATCTTCTTTGTTTTTTTTTGATCAGGTGTCCTCATCATGCTTTTCCAAAGAAGAAATCTCCTATCTATTAATAAATTCTTATAAAATTAACAATAATTGACTCTTACTCATAAGTACAGCACAGTACGATAATTAACTTTTGCTAATAAGTAAGCACAGCACGTAATATTCTTTGACTATTACAAATAGCACAAAAAAAAATTAAAATAATAGAAACTAAAAAAAAACATTATCATTTTTCATCTAATTTCAAAGGAATTACTTATCTCGAAATAGTCAATTTTTGTTTCTTTAAACATTTTTCTTCTAGAAAAAATTACATTTTTTTCTGATGAAAAATTACATTTTTTTGTTTTTTTTTTGTTTTTTTTTGTTTTTTTTTTTGTTTTTTATTTGCAATTTTTTTTTAGAAGAAAGTTGTCGAATTTTTCAACTCTTGAAACATAATGATTTGACATTAAAAAACTGTAATTCATCTTTAATCTTTTTGCTTATGTTATGTTTTTTTTCGATCAGGTGTGCTCATGCTTTTCCAAAGAACAAATCTCCTGTCTATTAATAAGTTCTTATAAAATTAACAATAATCAACTCTTACTCATAAGTACAGCACAGTACGATAATCAACTTTCGCTTATAAGTAAGCACAGCATGTAATATTCTTTGACTATTACAAATAGACCAGAGCATTAATTCATAGTCTTGACATCAAAAACAGTGATCCACACTGAAAATCAGTTCATCATCTTCACTCGTCTTTAATTGAGAGCAGGGGGAATGGCAATAATCATTTCTTACATTAATCAAGATGTTATGAATTCTTGAAATATTCATAGAATGTTTTTTCTTTTTTTTTGTTGCTGAAAAAAGGAGAAAATACAAAAAAATAGTTTTCTATTAATTTTTTAATGAAACTGAGAAGAAGCGACAAAAAGCATTCCGTCCATTTCCCCTCTCTCCCCTTTACTGGTCACCAAAATACATATATAAAAAAATCGAACAAATAAGAAGCTGAGCTTCAGAGAAACAAAAAAAAATTAATTCTAAGGATATGTTGATCCTTAAAAGCATAGAATATGAACTTGAAGAGTATTGATGAGGGATTCAAACGATCAAAGTCGAGGAGTGTTCGAGTTGAAAATAATCCTACAAGTTAACAAAATGTCTTAAAGACTTCTATTAGTTTCTACCTCGATAACGACTTCAGCTCCAATGACATTTGGAATTCTTGTGGTGGTTGACTGATCATCAACAGAACTATTACCTTCACCATCCAGTCGAGGACGTTGTGTTGGCCTTGAAATAGTGTCGCTCTCATTAGTAGGGTCCTCAACCTCAGAAATAGATCTTCGTATTGGGGGCGTATTCTCATTGGGAGTTGTCGCAGCTCTGTTTCGCCCCGAGACTCGAAACCCTTGCCTCATCTGAACCTCAGTCATTAAGATGTCATCCTTAATATGTATGTGAGCCATGTCTGGTATCTGCAGAACAATACTCTGATTATCGTTCCTGCGTAGAGTACCCCTGATTGTGACGTGTGATCCCAATGCAGGATTTCCGTTAGCCTCAAATGAGGTCACATAGACAGGAAGTCGGTATTTCACAGCATCCGTGAGGATGCCACTCCCGTACGTGGAATTATTGGTGATGACACTGGCAAATTCTAGTTTGATATAGCCTGTGAGGGTCACAGGTCCAGTCACTTCACCTATTTGATCCCAATTGATAGTAACATATTCAATTGGGTCTGGGGTGAGTTGGGGCATAGGTCCCAGAATTGACACCGTCCTATGAGCCTGGATAAAAATCTCAATGCTCATTAAATTATCTTCAGCCCGACGATATAGGGGATTAGCTACATTGACCCTGCCTCTCGTAATCCTTACACTCTAGAACAAAAGAAATGGTCACTATTTCCGCAATTTTTCTATACTCCATACTACATAATATTTCAGAAAACTTACCTGACGCATTAGTCGACCCTCAAATTCGGCGATTCTCCTTCCCCAGAAAAGAATTCTTATCAAACGGTTCGACAGGTTTGAAAAGATGCAACGATACGGGTGATTGGCTGACCGAGTAACGTTTGCCCTCAACCTGGGCTCATCAATGCGGATAATAGCACCTGTAACATCGCTGAAAATGAACAACATTTAATTATTCACTTGATTCATTTTTTTTCCATTTTTCATTTTCATTGATTATTCCTTGAAAAACTCAATGCCATTCAGAATAATTTTCAGATATTAATTTTTTCATCCACGTGGAGGGTGGATCCTAACCTTCCCCCATTTTCATATTCATATAATTAATTTCCCTCCAATAAAAATAGAAAAATAACTCACACAAGTGTATCTCCAACTTCCAGTTGATCGAACTCCTCGTCCGACGTTAGAACAAAATTAATTTGTTCCTCTTCCATAATTGATTACGTTTTTACAAAGCACGCCAATGTTTCTCCTTCAGCAGAGGCTAACCGGAAAGGGCGACATTTCACGAAGCGGAAATGGCGTGCGCTCTCTCATGAAAATCGTCTTATTTTCAACAACACTCCACACGACTTTTGTTGCCCGCCATAATTCAAATTTAAATATAATACTACATTTTTTTACTACATGTTTCCAATTTTAACATTTATCATTTGAATTTAAGAAGAACATATGAACAAAACGAAGAATATGTAAAACCATTCAATTCATATAATTTGAATCATTTTTTTTT